AGTTTCATTCCTATGTGTAACAATTGCGAAAACCTAAGAACTTAATGAGCGTTTTTCAGTTTATTTTTTCTTTCTTACCGGGTTAGCTTTTGAGCAAGCATTTGACCACAATCCTCTAGTTTTTTTTATGAGACCAAGTGACGGGACGAATAATTCGCGCACCTGGTGGTAAGTGACACGCCTGTCCATAACAATTGCAGTACCACTCAGTGCTTTAAAGCACAAAGAGCTGAGGGGCACTGCCTGCTCCCGACACCCTGAGACATAAATTGACAAGTCTTATGTGCCTGTAATTTCACCAAAATGGTGCAATCGAAGATAGAAAAAGCATACGTAGAAGGTACGTATTTACTCACACCTTGATAAGATCCGTGTCTAGTTCTGTTTTTATTTCACTAATCGGCGAATTAGAATGTCAATGTCACGAAACTAATAAATCAGGTGCTACCCGCTGGCTACCGGATTGGTTCTTGACATTGACAGAAAAATGTTCTTTAGTAACATGGTTATAGTCTTATAAAATTACTTAGTATGTATCCTTATATCGAATGGAGTTGAATAGATAAATAAATAATCACCTTTCTTATAATAAATCTAGGCGTCGATCAGAAACCTAGTGTTCTCCGCACTATGCGGTCACGAGACATAAATAACTGAGAGAAATGCGGAAGCCCCTTTTAGAGCACCCTCTGTTTGTAGCTAGAACTTCTAAATCGAAGCTGCAAGTGCCGTTAATCTCGATTCCATTTGAAACAATATTGAAATTATGCAGAAATTGTTTACAATTACAAGTAGTAAATCATTATTAACCAATGTATACTGCTTTATGCACGTGTCTGCTCTACTTCACATGTCTTAGGCTCAATTTATATTACTGCGTAACGGAATGGAAGTAGGTTTTTGATGAAATTTATGTGAATTGCGTAACGTAGAAACTATTCGAGCGAGAATTCTCCAGACTGTGCGAGAGATCAAACCACTGGACATTGTAATTACACGGAGATTATATTACAATTATAACAATATTTGTTATTCTGCTAAAACCTAGTTCCAATGGCACTAGAGTCTCAATAGACTGTCAGTGGCAATAATGGCATTAATTCGTTCAATCACTAAAGATCGAAGTCGCCTTACTAAAATAAGGAAATTACCATACATATCGCACTGTTAATACAATAGTGTATTAACTCAAAAAGAGGATTTCTCTGAATCGATGAAAAACGAATTACTCACTTCCCGCAAAAAACCATTAAAATTTATATGTTATAGTTTATTATAGACACTTAAACAATTTTTCAAATACATTTACCAATAAAATAGAAAAAATAATTTCGTGTTTTTGAATAAGGATTATTTAGACCAGAACTAGCTCACGTAAAGTGTGTCTCATTTTCAGTTAAGTAGATATCTTTTGATTGTTTCTTACAATATTCTAACGACGGTTTTTTTGACGTGTAGAGAATCAAATTTTACGTTCAATAATGATATAATATTAAATTTCACATATTGAGAGTTACAACACTATTGTAATAGCGATGCGAATCCTGCCTGTAACTTCACCAGCAATACCCTTCAAAAACGAAACGCAGTAATGCTCACATTACTGCTTGGCGGCAGAAGAAATACGTAAGGTGGCAGTACTTTCCTGAACGAACTTTTTCACAAGGAGCTCTAATGTTACTAAAACGACGAAAGGTGCATAATTAAAGAAAGCACATTGATATAAAAGATCCGCACGATTTAATTCCGCCTTCCCCTTTCTATCATCGCGAGATCAGACGTAGGATGGGGTTCCACCTCTATGTTGTGGATACTCCAAGGATTCGCACGAAGCATTTCGTTTCCACATTTATGTGGCCTTTTCAAGGCGAGAGTGAATAGGCATTATTTAGGTGTGCATCCTCCATCATCGTCATCATCGTCTTCCATCAGGTGAGTCACTTTCCATGATCTTCTCGGATCAGGTGAAATGGAGGTCAAATGCGCACTTAATTTTTAATACAAAAAACGCAGCAAATGTTACTAGAATCAATGAAGAAAAACATCGTGGTTCGCGAGCGGAACGCGTGCGGCTCGCAGTGAGCCCACGATAACCAGACACCTATTCATTCTAGCGAGTAAAGACTGTTACAAGCGTGCACAATATAGTGTCTTTTTTTGAAGACGGAATAAAATGACTGTTCATTACGCAAAAGTGTTGCCCGCTTCCGAGAAGCTAGTGATTGCAGTCAATAAATATTCTATCGACTCATCATATCAACCGGAAGACGTCCACTGCTGAACATGGGCCTCCCCTAAAGATTTCCAGACCAGCTGATCGGACACGACGTGCATCCATCGGTTACCCGCGACCCTTACCAGGTCATCCGCCCATCTAGTAGGGGGCCGTCCCACTGAACACCTTCCGGTTCGTTCGTCTCCATTCAAGAACCTTTCTGCCCCAACGGCCGTCAGTTCTACGAGCTATGTGCCCTGTCCACTGCCACTTCAACTTGCTAATCCTTCGAGCTATGTCGGTGACTTTCGTTCTTCTACGGATCTCCTCATTCCTGATTCGATCACGTAGAGAAATGCCGAGCATTGCTCGCTACATAGTTATTCTATCGACTATCGACTGAATATTGGTCACGGTTATGGAATATAGAATGTAGAATATAGAATGGAAAATAGTCGAACTTGTTTCATTTGAATCATCCTCGACACATTATTCATCCGATTACTGAGCACAAGTTCATTTGAATTATCAATTTTTGTAAGGTCATACATACATACACTGTATTTAGAACTATATTTATGAAAAACACATAGAGGAGACATATTTTAAAGTTTTTCAGTTTAATTCAATATAGACAATCAAATCCGGCTATTCATGTTAAAATGTATATGAATAAAAATTTGATCTCGATAATATCGCAATTAGAAATCATTAGAATCTCACATGTCATGTAACATTCTTACTTCAGTAATTTATGGCAAAATTTTATCTTATTTCACAATCTATTGACAAAACTATCGACTGAAAACTGGCAACCCTACAAATGTCATTTTACTCCGCCTTAAAAAAAGACAATCTCGTTACTGTATCTATCACATTACAGTTACAGCTCGCTAATTAGTACCCGGCTTACGAAGTAGTAAACAACACTTTAAAACGAAACAATCGCTTTCGACATGCTGTCACTGTTGGTATCAAAATGTACTGATTAACATTTAAATCAACTTACTTTTTTGTTCTCTGTCAACGTTCAAGACGTAGCTTACAAATATTTATTTATAGCAATTCAATCGTATAACAAACTGTCGAGTGATATGAAATAGTATAGTACAGCAATAGGTACAAAAAAAAATGTGTTCATGTAATCTACCCTGATTGTTATCATAACTGACGTAATCGACACGAAAAGAAAAGTTGTTGCTGATGGAAGTTGTTTACACATCAGCGCATTTTATGTACCTAGTTTTTAAAAAATATGCGAAAAATGTACATCCCGACTGAGTCGATCTACATGAAAAAGCTTTCTATTTTTTGGTTTTATAATAAAATATTATTTTCATGATTTTGTGACATTTATTAATGAAAGAATCAATCTGCATGAAAACAATCAATCTGTCTAGCTTAATCGTGGAATTTTATCAAAGTTATATTTTAAAAAACAGCCATCCAAATATTTATTTAGTCTTCTGTGGCTGAGCTGTCTTTTCGGCTTTCAGTCTGTTTCTGGAAGGTTTGCAAATTATTCCAGCGTGCCTTTTAGGTCGTGTCACGACTCTAACATCCGCAATTAATATCAGCATTGATAAATGCGAATGCGAATAATTTTTATTCATGCAGATTATCCGCGGTTACCGATATTCGCAACAACCCAGCTCTACATCCCTCTATAAAGGGTTTTTTTATATCTTATTTTTTCTAGTTCCAGTTTCAGTTTTTTTTTTTTCAGTTCCAATTATTGTTAAGTAAAAGCAGCTTAATTGACATTTTTCAAACAAATTAAAAAATGTCGTGCCAATATCTCGAAACTTATAATAATAAGGTCTCGAAAATTATATAAAGTTGGAGCCCTCTAGTATGTAAGATATATATGTGTCAGTTGACTCCACTTTTCTACAACTAGAAATTCATCAATCAACATTATTATTAAATTTAAGTAATAATTAGGAGACTAAAAGAAACTCAGAAAAAAAATCTTTCAAAAATGAGGACAAAATTTTTATAAATGAATTTGTAGTCAAAACAGATTGTCTCTAATTATCGGATAAAGAAACAATTAGAAGAAACGATAGACGATCTTGTAACGGTAAACAAACTGCACTTGCAAACTGATTACATCTATGTGAATTTGAAAAAAAAACTATATTGTAACAGACGCGTACGCGCCAACCGTTGAACGCGGAACATTTTTTACTGAACCATTCACAAAATAACTGCCAGAAGGTGACCGTTAACACCTGTCTCTTGATATCAACTATTTGCTTAAATAACTAACAAAATAAACACGATCCAGACACATCCGAAATTAAACGTAGATGATTTAAAAACACTTATGGAAGACTATGATAAATCTAAAATTCAAATGGAAGATCAGAACGGCTATTGTAAAGAACAAAAACGAGCTCAGAGATTGATATAAACAGTTAAAACTAACGAACTAGTATCAATTATACAAAAAAAATAAAATGTTAGAGCGTCAGAGGCCATAGATACGGAAATACATGTTTTCGTACAGTTATGCGTTGTGTAAGAGATAACCTGAATTGAGATAAGACTCTTTGAATGTGAAGCTTTCGACACGCCGGCAAAGCACGGCACAGCTTGCTTCGACGTGTCCAAGTGAGTTAAACTTATAATATTTGTAAGCGCATACACAAAGCTTTGGAGAATCCACAACCAGTTTTGAAACTTAACGGTTGAGGCGCACCCATGGGGATAAAATCGCGAGTTGATTGATGTTTGGCATCGATGGCGAATTCCCGCCGATGTCGGAGAAAGGCACACTTACCGTCCGTTCGGCGCCGAAGGTGAATGCACCAACTTCACCGCGAACAGGAACTGTATTGCACACACCAGGAGACAGCATAAATTCAATGACAATGTCAACGCACACAATGCTAACGTCACTTCGTATACCACTGCAAATTCTTCCGGGGCGCTCGTCGACGGAGCGGAGATCTTCAGCAGGAACAAGAGCGCGAGCAGCGCCAGGAGCAGGCTGACGAGGCAAAGTAGCGCCAGAGACGTCAGAGCCTCCTCGGTCGCCGCTCGAGCGCTCCTGCCTTTAAGCGCGACAGGCCGTGTTTGGGATACTCCCGATGCATTCCCGTTGGGAAGTTTCGGCTGAGCTGCCACCGGTATAGAGGCGACCACTGATATAGGCGCATTGTTAGATGGTGGTGCTTGTCCACCAGGACTAACGCTCGCGGAGGTTCCTCCAACAGAATGCTTCGAAGAGTCCAGGGTGGATACGTTGAGCGACAGGTGGTGGTGCGGCCGCCGTGGCATATTCTGGTAACGGTGGTCGGCATCATTCGCCGCCGGCGGCCGCTGCGCATGCTTCAACATGGCGCAGCGCTCACGCCGTGGCCCGCCATCCCGCCGACTGGTTCTTCGGCATTCGGGCCGGTTTTTGAATCACAAGAGCGCGCGACGCGGCCGATGGGCAGAGCGGGCGCGAGTCGACTGCCGGAGTCGGCCGGCTGAAGCATTCACACACCCCCCTCGGCTCTACCTGCGCCTGCGCGTAATTATGTCAATCAAACCGGTGCAGGGTGTGCACTGCGCGCAGCCACCCGACCGGCCGACCCAAAGACTACCCTCACAATAGAATACCTAAGGGGGATATATTATAATCATAACTTCTTTGAGACAAAGACAATTGTTTCAGATGAATCAAACACCTTTCTATTGAAATTGTTATTAAAATATACGTACGTTAGCGTGTTTTGAAAAGCTTGATTGTGTGACTGCGTGTATAGTAAACCTGATTTTGGAAATAAAGCGTTATAGAATTATAATTACTTACGTAGAGTGCTAGAGAGCCTTAATTCGGTCATTCTCGGACTAGTGTTCAGTACCTAATTTTCGTGGCAATTTTTATTCTTTAAGTGTTCCATTTTTTTATCGTGTAATATTATTTATTATTCGAGTGTTGTATCGTAAAATATTATTCAATAATTACACGATAATATAATTGATTATTTAAATTGCCACGAAAATTAGGTAGTGAACACTAGTCAGAAAATGACCCAATGGTTTTCAGTGGTAACTTAATTAGGTACAATTTATTTATGCTTACTGGAATAGGTGTTTCTGTTTATCTTTATATTTCATAGATCCACGGTAGGCTTATATTGTTATAACTTTATACTTACCTAGTCTGCAAAACTTAGTCTTGTTTAGTTCATAATGTGTTGCAATAACGACTATAATAAATGTAGTACACATACGCCTTGAACTTGACGAATTATAATATGTAATAAATCTTACTTTTTATTCTATTTATTTTGTTGATCTAGGCACATGAACAGGTAGTACATTATTACATTTAACAGATTATATATTGTATTCTCGGTCATGGTCTGATGTAATGACCCACTACAGATATGCACAATATTGACATTGATTTGACTTAGTAGTACATCCATATGTTAAAAAATATTGAAACTTTATAATTGCACAAAAATTGCGAAAACCTAAGAACTCCATAGTTCTTAGGTTTTCACAATTGTTACATATTAGGAATTAAACAGTTTTCCAAATTACTAAACGTTTCGGGTCCTTTACCACGGGACCTGTCTCACTGTCACGTCTGACGAAACGTTGGTTTGTTTCAAAAAATACTTTTATTTTTATTAGATACTCATCGAGTATATAATCTTAAATAGAAACGAAATGTTATTTAATTTGTTTGACTTCACTTTTTATTTTTATGGCTCCATCAATAGAATGATGATTTTGCCAATGTCACGGTGGAAAGAAAAATTATCAAAAATCAAAAAAATACCACTGAGCTCTACTACGACGTTAACCGGTGTTGATGGATTGGTCCCCGGAAGTACCTACTCAGGTGAGAATTCAAAACAAAAGACGGCACAAACATATAACACGGATTTACAGGTATATATTATTTTTATTTAATTAACTGGATGAATTTACTTAGAGTAGAAATATAGGGAGAAAACGCAAAAGTTAAAAGATTATTTATGTTAGTGGGGCGGGGGAATTTTGGAGGTAACAAATTATAGAGCGGGACAGAAATATTAGGGCAATTGAAAAAATGTGTTCCAAGCTACCGTCCTCTAGGCCACACTCGCACAGAGAATGATCTCGGACTCTGATTTTAGGCAAAAAAACCGGGGTGCAAACATGACCTAGGCGTAATCGTATAATGGTAGAAGTGACTACCATTACAATACTTAGTGGGTAGATTTGGTTGAAGGTTACCATAGTGTTTACCAATAATTTGTCGTGTTTCCTGCCACAATTCCGACCAGGAGGCTAGCATTTGAGTTTTGGTCATGGCAAGCAGATCTCTAGACAAGCACTTATTATATTTGCACACGCCAGTTCTTGTTGCATCTTTTGCAAAGGCGTCTACTACTTCGTTGCCACTGATCCCACTGTGGCCAGGAATCTAGGCCAGAGTTACCTCAATTCCTGCACAGTGATATCGGTGCAGAGCTTTCTTAATTTCGAGGGTGATGGAGAAGTTATCTTTGGAATGGAATGGTGATATCTACGGTCCAAATGGCCAACCCGAATTCGACTTCAAATCGACCAGTTTTACTTGAACGTTGCTATAATGGACGAAAATTGAAAAATTACATAATTTAATTACCGACGAAATGTGATTGCGTTTGTTTTGTAATTAGATGCTGTTTTTCCCACACCACCGAATGGAACAGCCCCCCATAGTCAGAGACATTATCCATATTACTATGAATACAGAATATGTTTGGAATATACGGAGACATACACACAGATCAGTTGTTGGCGCTGTATTATTTCAGCTTTCTAATTTGTGATTTCAGCGCAAACGAGAGTTGATATTTAAAAGTGATATCAGTACCTTTTGATGGATGGCCCTTATTTCGTCTCTATTTCATGGTTATATACTCGATGTAGATTCTCCACGATAAATATGCGAGACATTACGCATAGCAGTATTTACGCTATTTAAAAAAAAATCACCTTGCTCATCAACAGCTGAACGTCGCTATTAAAATTAAACGCTCTAACATTCAGTCTTGTTACGACCACTTGACCGGCATTAGCGATTGACATTTTTGCCTTCTGTACATCTTGAAGACAAACCTATTGTTAGATTTCTACAGATGTAGTTATTAGACATTGAATAAGAAGCACTTACTGCGTATTATTTATGGTTTTACCATTAAGCATGATATTAAGTATGGGACGAAGAATTCGTAGGCCTGTTGGTAAGCGACATGCCTGTTCATGGCATGGTTCCAGTGCCACTCAGAGCTTTAAATCGCAAAGATCTGAAGGGCACTGCCACTGCGCCTGCCCTGTGACATAAGCTGACAAGTCCCATATGCCTGTAATTTCACCAATTACCCGGGATCACAGTACCTCCCGCTGGCTCATATGGAAGGCCGCGCGGAGTCATATGTTAGATCGTTTTGAATCGACGATGCTCCAAACAATAATAAATTTCTTCTCTTAAACACAGGTAGCTAAAGAAACGGTGTCCTATTACATTATATCTGTGCTCCATTAAAAAAGAACAAATTACAAATAAATGAAGGCATTATTTGATACCCTCTTTCCAGTTGGTTAGTTATTAATCAAGTAACTTAACCCTTGAAGAAAAAAGTATAGAAGGAACGTTCCTTTGTTATAGGTAATTTTACGTCTACAGAATCGATTTCGTACTAATAAAGGTCCTTGTGAATGAAAATACAGGCACATGGAACTCTACGTCTCAAGATGACGGGCGCAGTGGCAGTGCTTGTCAGTTGTTTGCGATTTAAGGGTCGAAACTCAAAACTGCGATGTGACGTCGCGTCGCAGAAATCTACGAGCTCGCACGACGCATCGCAAGAATTGCTCCACATCCACTTTCCTGCGATGTTAACCTTCTTTGTGTTTTTTCCTATACTTTCTTATCAATAATAGCAGTGCAACACTTTTTTTACGATCCATGTCGCTACCTAGCTTAAAAAATACGTTTAGTACGGCTGATGATTGTCGAAGGAATGGTTACCCAAACCTTGGAAGCGCCTTGCCTTTGCCTTGCCGTGCCTTTCGTGCCTTGTCGCACGAAATCGCATCACAGCAATTCGCGTGTGTTTCGACCCTAAAGCTCTCAGTGGCATTGCATCGTTATAGGTACGCTTGTCGCTTTCCACCAAGCGCACTGCTTGTCTGTCCCGTCAGTTGATATCATAAAAACCGATTTTAAAAACCTTTTCTAATCGAAATCAGAAAGTTGACGGTCAGGTCAAGGCTTTGACATAACCAGCTAAACAAAAGAACACGATGATAGGCCGTTGAACCTGCCAGCCGTACACAAGTCAGCGTCAAAATAGACCACAACATTATTGTTTTAACAAACCGTAGTCTAGAGCCTTGTTTTCAAACTTTGTTACTACGGTGGATAACGTGTATTGGATAAACAATATGTCCATATACATATGACGTGGCTGTCGTGCGTGGGAAAGCCATTTTGTTTTAAAACCCCTCACCAAACCTAACGCAAGATAAGCGACTCTACAAACTCTCCGAAGTAAATTTATCACTCTCTCTGAACACGCACATTATCCAAATCTTATGCAATGGTAAGTAAGTTTTTGATTTTGAATTGGTGACTTTGGACATCATGCTCAACGCCATTAGCACGTCCCACTTCTGAGCACGGGTCTCCACTAAGAAGAGGGTTTAGAAGCCCGCCACGCTGGCGGCACACAATGCGGGATGAGATCTTTGCACATCATTATGGATTATGAATCTTCTTCGACATGTAGTAGGTTTTACCGCGATCTTTTCCTTCACTGGAGCCTCTCCGTCACCCGTGCCCGGTAGTGGGACTATAGATCAACTCTAGTCATGCTGTGAATAAACAAGAGTCTGTACAACTCTTGTTGTCCTATATTCATATTCCTAGTGGCCTAAGAGCCAACGTGATGGGCACGGTTTGCCATCTGTAGTTAACACCTGTTTGGCAGGTGTGCAGGTGGAAAAAATGCCTGCTGCTATAGATGACATTAGTCGTGTGTGCACGATTGAGAAAATAACTACCTTTATCTTTTTACATAGTTTGCTCTCGTAGTTCTGTTCGATTTTTAGACGTTCGCTGGAGCGGTTGGTCTGTGGGTTGTGTATATTCATGCAACCGCTTATCAATATTGTCTAATTAAACTCTGCGTGAACCTTACGAAGGTTCTGTTTTTAATGAGAAATGTTATAAATCTAGTTATGTAAGGTATTCATGGGAAGTTGGATTCTAATTTTAAATATATAAGTAGTAGTAGTTCGCCCGCAATAACGAAAATTAGAGCTAAAAATATTTAAATATTCATAAAAGACAAAAAATTTGCTTACACAATGCAAATTTCCGATTGACCGCGCACAACTTGTGTGTCGGACCTTTACTCAACGAATTCGCTGTCAGTGAGACTCAAACATAATTTATTAACTACACCAACGGATAACTCACGTATTTATGTCGAATTTTTGCTCGACACCTTCCGAACTAGTCCGCGGTCCTCATGAGATTCCGCGCCGGTGACTCGAGGGTAACGAAAAAGTATATTCTTTTTTTTCTTAAATTACTGTCGCCCCAGTCTCCCAATGGCCGCTAGCTTACATTTGCCGCCAGACATACGCCGTTCCTCTCCAGTAACCAGATTCTCTTCACATACGCTAGTTAATTCTGCTCGTTTACTTTTTTGAGTTAACTATCTAATTTATTCTACTTATAAATAGAATAATAAAACATAGAGAACATAGAGAAAGCAAGTTTTCTCTTATTTAAATAATATCTAAAAATAATGTACCAGACAACCACACTCTTACCTGATCTAAACAAGGGAATTCCTGTAGTATAACCCAGAATACCCCGAACATGCAGATCGCCGATCGGCACCAAATTAAAAAGTTCAGTTCTTCAAATTGGTCCCACCGGGAATAGAATCCGGGACCTCCTCATCCAGCGCCCACGCAAACCGTTGGGCCACCGCCGTTGTCAAATTCGTTAGACTAAAATATGTAGCCATCAGGCGGCCTTAGATCTCCTATTCGGTTCATCATTATCCCGGTTTAGATGTTACGGCCCACGACAGAACACGGATCTTTCTAAAGAAAAGGTTTCGATCATAAGCCCGCAGCTAGATTTCCAAAGGTTGTAAACCAGGTTTCGCCACTGCCTTCCTTCACTGTTAGCGAGAGTCATTGATATTAAAACCAATTATTTATCAGTAATTACAGGTATCTTACCAACATATCTACTCAGATATAGCTATATATTATTAGCTTTAGTAGCAGTAGTGTGAAAGAATTCGTCCAGGGAAGTACTGCCAGCCTATCTAATTCTACCGCCGGTAATATGAGCATTGCCGCGTGCCGGTTTTGAAGGGTAAGGGTGATGATGAAATTATAGGCACATGGAACTTGTCAACTTCAAAGTCTCAGGGTGACGGGCGCACTGGCAGTGCCCTTTTGCGATCTCTGCGATTTAAAGTTCTGAGTGGCACTACAACTGCTTTGGACAGGCGGATCACGATTTGTTCGTCCCGTCATCATCATTTGGGATATTATAAATAAAAAAAACATTGTAAAGCCATTGTAAAGTACACATATTTTTTTATAAATTTAGCCACGTAACTTTCCTGTACGCCGTGGGTATGATTTTTATACTTTCTTGGGCCATCTTGTACTTTCTTAAAAATCTGTACGTGAGAGATAAAGAACATTAACTGCCAAATAGTAATTTTGCTCCCAGACGAATGACTTATTCCGTGGTACCGTAATAAATATATCGGGATAAGAATGAAAAACCGTGCCGCGATAAAAAGCTTTCATACTAGTGTGAATAAACCATGAAAGTCTTAAAATCTTTATTGTTGTCGGATTTGTCTTAAGCATAGAATATTTTACTAGGTGATAAAACCTGAGCCCTAGGTCAGATTAAAGCATAGCGACTAGTAGTTCATAGCCTTGTATAGCATCGTAAAATCTTATATAACGTAGCGTCATTGTAAGGACGTTGGCCGACGATACGGTAAAAAAATTGCATCTCGAATAGGGTAACCACGTAACGTAACGGAAATTAATTGAATAGAAAATATATTTGTTGGTGGATAGACCAAAAATGCATTGATTAAGAACGATGGACCGCAACGAAACATTTATAATTTCTATTAAAGGGAAATCAAGCTAAAGTATACATTACTTCATTCAATATTACATTTTAAGAAAAACACTAACTAAACAGAAGCGAGCGAACCATAGAAAAAAAAAACAAATTGACATTGAGTTCTTAGGTTTTCGCGATTGTTACACATAGGAAATGAAACTATTTTTCCGGATTTAAATCGCGTATATTTGGTTTGTTTGAAAAAATAAATATGTGTGATTAAAATCAGGAAGCTAAGCTACGGAAAATGTAAAATAGTATTTAATATCTGCCCGATCCGTAACAATGCGTAAAAATTAAAGTCCCCGAAAACTTGACTTGTTTAAAAGACTTATAATATATATATAAGAATATACACTATTTAGATCCGAAAAAAATACATTCAGTTCCAATATGTAGCAATTGCAAAAACCTAAGAGTTCGATAATTAGGTAATTGATCAGTGAATTTACATCTACTACCACAGTTATGATATAATAAACAAGATTATTTTTTCAGTACTATTTAATTCATTATCAAGTTGTACACAATTCGCGTTTATTAAGTATAAAGTGGAATTCCTCAAGGTACACAGCTTGGCCCATTTTTTTAAACTTAGATCTTCATAGTCGAACATAAATTATATGTATAACAATCTAAGCTACATTGCGATACAACAAAAGCAAAAAAACTCAAGAGACAAATTGTCATTCATAAAGACAATTCGTGACACCGGATTGTATTTTTTATTTAATTTATTATCCCAAGTAAAATAATTAACTGTGGTTCTTAAATATAATCTACCTACCGCAATCTCTTTAACGCATTTATACATAGGGTGACTAAAGTCACCTCACAGCATTAAGCGCTTTCGTTTTACAAACAGTAACAATTAAAGAAAGAAAATACTTTCTAAATGTCTACTTTCAATGAGATTTTTAGTTCTTTGTCATTAACATTTACTTTCCTCGACTAATAAAATTTTAAAAATAATCTCATTACGACAGTCCTACAATTTAACAAAACATAGTCATACTACATAGTAACTCCGCTAAAGGCCCTAAGAATGTAGCGTGTCTAGTACTAGTTTGGCGACAACACCGGCGCTATTGGTCACAGCCTTTTATGGAATCCCTATCCCCTCTTAATCGAGTGCGAACTTAGTTCATTACAAGTCACTTGTATTTTAATTAGGTTAGTTCATATTTTTGTATGTGTACAATTAATATAATTCGATTCTTATACATAGAATGGCACGACGGACAAAGAAATAAAGTCTACTGTCACACCACTCAATGAAGATATCATCTCTTTTCAATACATATCACTAGATGCATGGCGTGGACGCTTTGACATGCTTTTTATTACGTATTTATTTTCATTTTTAACCGACAATTTAAAAAAAGGAAATTTCTCATTTCGACTGTATGTTTTTTTGTGTATATATGTTACACGATACCTCGATTTTGATGATTCTTTTTTTGTTAGAAAGAGGGTACCTCAGAAGTGGTCTTCTTCTACTTCCGTGGCAAACTATGGGGATAAATGATTTTTGAAGTCGGTTTTTTTTTGTTACTGAGATTATTTTTCTTTGTTTTCTATTATCATTGTTTTTTTTATGAAGGAATTATTGTAATTTTCTATAATTGTTGTATTTTGCATGACAAATAAAGCCATTTTTTAAATTTATTTATATCTTTTAGTGGCCGATAGCGTTCCCTTTTTAAATGACGGCCTTGATACCACAGACACACGCAGATGTACAGACTCAAGCTTCAAACCCCCTCTTTTTATATTGGGGGTTAAAAAAGATCAAATAAAAACACTGTTTCATATAATAATAAATTCATTCCATTTTTCATTTCATTCACAAACAATACACAACTGTAATCCAAAATAACAAATTATTATATGCTTGTCGACAGCACTAATTACGTATACACCTACTGATAAAACGTGACACTAGGTCATTGTTCATTAGAGTTTATACTTCATAATAAGTCGAGTATCTTAACGAGTAGACGATTTGTGAAACGGTGTTTTTTGAGAATTATTTGTTTTGAGTTTGAGGTTGATTATACGAGTTGTGGCCATGTCGTAAGTTTATTTTTCGTTTGCTTAACATGTGTTTTATTTGAGTATTATGTAGATGTACAAATAAAAATTGTCCCTTTTTTGCTGTTAACTATAGAAGTGGTTAGGTAGGTAGTCTCATGTACCTACCTGTTATTTTTAATTTGTGGCCGCAGCCGCGTGGTGTATAATTACATTTCAATAAAGGCTAATTAAATAAGTTAAGTAAACAATTCACAACATTGAATATTTAGATGGAATTGCACATTTTACTTTATATATAAACGAGCTTCATGTCTTATACAGAATGTATAATTTGACCTTGACTTTGATATTTGACTCGTGCAAAAAGCAAATGACTAATTATGCGCTGCTTGTGTATTAATTTTATTACAAAACCTTTATGTAATTAAGTAACCTACATTTGAAAACCAAAATCACAAGTAAAGTTACTCGCAGCATTTGTAAAAACAAATTGCACTTTTAGATCAGTAATTTTCAGGTAAGTTTTTTGTACTCAATTTTGGTAACAATTTTTATTATTTAATTACTCGAATATAATATTATCATAGTGAAATATTAAAGAATATTTCAGGCTACCACACTCAAATATGAAATAAAAGTTAATGATGAATATTCTACTTTCTTTCCGAACTTTCCGATAACCGATTTCAATAAAACTTAGCAAATACATGTAATTCCACGAACTTCGAGGTTTTTTTTTATAAAAAAAGTTAGATTAATTATGCATAAATAGGAGAGTTATAATCCCGCACACGCACACGCACAAATAACGCACACACTCAACATAGCCCCGCACTAGGGAAAACCCTGTGTCGCGGGTGCCATGGACACACACATAGACAACCACAAATTACACCCAAACTCACGAGAGAAATAATTGTAGGCCATACAACTATTTCTCTCGGCCCGGGAATCGAACCTGGGACCTCTGCGTGGCAGTCCGGCATGGTAACCGTTCGGCCACGGAGGCAGTTAAATATTTCAAATATACGTAATTTGTTTCATGTAGTTCGTATTACTTTTTATGGCTTTCATGCAATAAAAACTATTTGGACGTGTGATCACATGTGGTGTTATTATACCAAGGTTGCGATATACCTGAAGCAAGCTTTATTGTTACAATTTGAGCACATACATACTGCTAGCGTCTTGAATATGTACCTAATTAATTTATAACTACTGTAGCTCCTGTCTTAAGCTCCAGCTTTAGAGAGGCTGTACTCTATAAGCACTAGCCTTTTCCCAAGCAATATACTATACCTACATAGTGCTTACTTACCTTCAATATAGGCGTATGCTCAAGACCCGATCTTAGGGTCAGCATTTGCCTAGAGAGGTAAAAATGAAGGGCGCCACAATTGAGAGCGCCGGGATGATTACGAACAGAAAATAAGAATTAAACACAGATCGGCCCCTCCTACGTAAAGTACCGTATGTCGAAATTGCCAAGTTTACAGGGGAGCATTTTAAAGTTCTGAATTCACTGAATTTTCTCAGTTTTATTTGAGAACGAGTTTCAAAGTATCGCGCTTTGCTGAAAAACGCTCCTCTGTAAACTTGGCAATTTCGACATACGATAATTTACGTAGGAGGGGTCAAGATATGTCTGTGGAATTAAATTTATAAGAATAAAAATTACATTGCTAAGGTGTTTCTAAGGTTTTTTTTAATTACTATTAGGGGTTAAAGTATGAAATTGCCGTTTTATTGCAATAGGTTCTTTGAATTTTCATAGAATCTTCATGGTTTGAGGTTTTCGAATGAAACTTTTTTCAAATGGTTTCTGTGATTTTTTTTTTTAAATTTGAAACATTTGAATATCGACTTTCAATTGTTTTTGTTATTCAATTTAGACAAGAAAGATGGATACTGCGAAAATTCGAGTGATTTTTGAATACGAGTTCCGACGCGGAACTAACGCGGCAGAAACAGCCCGCAATATCAATGCTGCGTTTGGAGAGGGGTCTACTAATGAACGCACCGTGCGATTTTGGTTTAAACGCTTTCGTGATGGAAATTTCGACTTAAAGAACGAGCCACGAGGAAGACCGCCCACACAGGTGAATAACGATGAATTAAGAGAGATAGTGGAAGCCGATCCTAGTCAAACTACTCAGGAATTAGCGGCATGGTTTAACGTTACCTTACCCACAATATTGACTCACTTGCGTTAAATCAATAAAATAAAAAAATACGAAAAATGGGTGCCTCATGATTTGACTGATCTGCAGAAAGAAACGCGTGTTGAAACTTGTGTTGCCTTGTTGACCGGTACAGAAATGAAGGAATATTGGATCGAATTGTAACATGTGATGAAAAGTGGATTCTTTATGATAACCGGAAAAGAAAAATGCAATGGCTGACCCCAGGTCAAATGCCACAACAGTGTCCTAAAGCAAAACTTACCAATAAAAAGGTAATGGTAACAGCATGGTGTTATTCACTATAGTTTTCTCCGATCTGGTCAAGCAATAACGGCAGATGTCTATTGTGCCGAACTCCGAACCATGTTGACAAAACTAGCAGTAAAACAGCCCCGACTCATGAATCTTCACCATTATTGCTCCACGACAACGCGAGACCTCACACAGCACGAGAAACCATTTTGACCCTTCAGGAACTGCAGTTAGAAACCATTCGTCATCCTCCGTATTCACCAGACCTTGCTCCAACGGACTACCATTTTTTTCGTGATTTGGACAATTATCTACGTGACAAGAAGTTTTCTTCCCAGGAGGCAGTACAAAATGCTTTCACACAGTTTGTGCAGTCTAGATCGTCGGAGTTCTATCGCAAAGGCATTAATAACCTTCCCATTAGATGGCAGCAATGTATAGATAATAATGGCAACTATTTTGATTAAATTTTTTTTTTTTTTTTTTTTTTATAAAATATAGGTGCGCATTTGACCTCCATCTCACCTGATGGAAAGTGACGATGAGGTCGACGATGGAGCATGCACACCTAAATAATGCCTATTCACTCTCGCCTTGAAAAGGTCCAAGTTATAACGTTCAGGGAACAAGTCTGCAGGCAGGGAATTCCACTCCATAGCCGTTCGCCATATAAATGTGGAAGCGTAACGCTTCGTGCGAATCTTTGGAATATCCACAACATAGGGGTGGAACCCAAGCCTACGCCTAGTCCCCCGGTGATGGAAAGGGGAAGGCGGAATTAAATCATGTAATTCCATCGCACACTCTCCGTGATATATCCTGTAAAATACCGATAAGCAGGCAACTTTACGGCGGTGTTCAAGGCTCTGCAGCTTCGCCTCCACTAATTCCGAGTCACCTATAAGCCTCTTGGCACGGTTGTCAATTGAATCCAAAGTGGCCAGTTGATATGTCGCAGAGCCATCCCAAAGGTGGCAGCAGTACTCCATGCACGATCGGACTTGTGCTTGGTACAGCTGGAGCAACTGTCCCGGTGTAAAGTACCGCCTCACCCTGGAAAGGATCCCAAGCTTCCTTGCTGCATTTTTGGCCGTGGATTCAATGTATCTGCCGAAGTTCAAATTGGACGACAGGTCCATTCCAAGTAGCTGGAGACAATCGGCTATCGGTATGGATATATCACGAAAAGTCGGAGTCAGCTCAAAGGGACTCCGTTTTGTGGAGAATAGACACGCCTGCGTTTTGGTAGCGTTAAATTTGACAAGATTGGCATTGCCCCAATCGGAGACTGCCTGGAGTGTCAAATCTAAACGGCTAACCATGGACTCTCGACAAGACTGGATTTCCTCTCCACTGACCCTTGCATTGGTCAAGTACCTATCTACAACTGTGCTGTCATCAGCATACGCAAAGGTACCTGGAATTAACATATCATTGATATGCAGCAGAAAGAGAGTTGCAGACAGTACGGAACCCTGAGGAACTCCGGCATCTATCGCCATATGTTCGGAAGAGTAGCCTTCTAAGACCACTCGAATCGAACGTTCGCTCAAGAAATCCGAGATCCAATTGCAAAGGTCAGTGGGAAGCCCATAAGAGGGAAGCTTGCTTAAAAGGCTTGCGTGCCAGACCCTGTCAAAGGCTTTAGAAATGTCCAAAGACACTGCAAGTGCTTCGCCTTGCTTTTCTATAGCCTCGCTCCATATGTGACAGGCATACACAAGAAGATCCCCAGTAGATCGCCCTCGTCGGAATCCGTACTGGCGATCACTGAGGAGATCGTTGTCTTCAAGGTACGATAGGAGACGGTTGTTGAGTACACGTTCCATAGTCTTGCAGAGTATGGAAGTGACTGAGATAGGTCTATAGTTGACAGGGTCAGCTCTGCTTCCCTTTTTAGGTACAGGTTGCACGTTTGCAAGCTTCCACGACCTGGGAACTACACCAGTCTCAAGTGAGAGGCGGTACAGGCGTGTGAGAACAGGAGACAACTCAGGTGCACAGTTACGCAGGACTATTGCTGGAATTCCATCTGGCCCGCTAGCTTTATTCACGTCTAGATTTCGCAGAGTTCTAAGTACCTCTTTTTGGCGTATGCGAACTGGCGCCATAGTGCAGCCAGCCTGAGGTAAAGTAGGTGGTAGGGTCCCTGCGGCATCTAGACGCGAATTTTCTGCAAAGAGTGAGGCAAAGAGATTCGCCTTCTCTTCCGCAGTATGAGCCAGCGAACCATCCGGCCTCAGCAGAGGTGGCAAAGATGGGCGACAAAAGTTCGATTCGACCGCTTTGGCCAGGGACCAAAAGGATTTGCTGCCTGCTGGATAAGAGGCAAGCTTGGCTCCTATGCGGCGCACATGGTCGAACTTGGCCCTACGTAACATGCTTTTGCACTTCTTGGCGGCCTTATTAAAAGCTTTCTTCATGTTCTGAGTACTCGGAGTTTTGCGTAGTCGAGCATCTGCCCAAGCTTGGTACGCGGACTGTTTACGTGCTTCAGCACAACTACAATTAGCGTTAAACCATGGACGAGCTTGGGGTCCATTGGGTACATCAGAGTATGGAATGTAATACTCCATACCCAAACGCAAGACCTCGACTACAGCATCAGCACAGCTCGACGAGTCTCCTGAAGTAAAGCACGCCTGCCAGGGATATGACGCAAAGAAATGGCGCATTTCGTCCCAATCTGCTAACTTGTATCGCCACACCCGTCTCATACCACTAGGGCCCTGATCGGGTGGGGAGTATACGGATACAGTTTTCACCAGACAATGGTCGGAAGTACCCAGTGGGGCCTCCACAACCACAGAGTATCGGTCCGGATCAGTTGTCAGCAGAAGGTCCAAGCAATTAGCCGTATGGGATTCAACATCTGGTATCCTAGTGGCGCCACTGACAAGCTGGGATAAGCTTAGCGTTAACGCAAGTTTACGCGTCTCTCTCCCAGCGTGATCGGTCTTCTGGTATGGGAACAACCATTCTTGATGGTGTGCATTAAAGTCCCCCAGAATGACTAGTTGCGCCGCTGGGTACCTATGCTGAATCTCATCAGACGTCTCACTTAGATATTGGAACAGCTTGGTCGTCTCCTGATCTCCACTGTGCGATCGGTAAACACAGCAGTACACTATTTGTGTAACTCCTGTGTCAACCAGAAGCCATAAAATTGAAAAACTCGGTGCCTCAAGGTTCTTGAGACGCTTGACACAGATGTCATCGCGAACGTACACACAGACTCCGGCACGAGGTACGAACCTGTGCTCCAGAGTATACCCGGGGTAGCTGAGGTACGCTGCGTCAGTCGGACATCTGATCTGCGTCTCTGTGAGGAACAGCAGCTGCGGTTTGTCGGTTTCAAGGTGGTAGTGGACCGAATCGAGATTTGAGTGCAGACCTCGGATGTTAGTGAGGTGCACTTTTAGTGGGAGGACGTGCAACCGCTGTGTATACTTTTTTCCATTTTTAAAGTTTTTCATTCTGTTTTGGAGAAGTGAATAGGCAGGAGGAAGGCAGTTGAACGAGGCACTGCGTCGTGTTCAACCAAGCAGCAGACTCATACTGCCACACGAGGTTACAATCGGCTTGGAGACCGCGGGGACGCCCGAACCCCCCCGGAGATGGCCACCTGGTCCTCCCTTCCGGTCGCCAACCGGCAAGGTGGAGCATTCCGGGATTTTTCGTTGGGTGGCGGGGCAGCCTTTCACGGGTGGCTTTCCCGCTACTTGGGCCCCCAACTTCCCACGGTCGGCCAGCGGTGCACCGTGCTTCGGATCCCGCTAGCCTCCAGAACCGAGTGCTCAGTGTGGCAGTACAAGCAGCTACAACTCGCCGTCAGACGCAATGCAACTGTTCAGACCCGACCTCCAAATGGCAACTCCCGAACACGAGTCGGAACACGGTAAAAACCATTTGGCGACTCGACTGCGTCGGGAGGGTGGTGACTAGCCACGGCCGAAGCCTACCACCAGTAGTTATTGCTCTTTGGCACCACCCAGGGGTCACTTGTAGGGTCTCAAGGGTAAACCTACGGAAGCGAGCAACATCAACCCCCAATAAATTTGTTAAAAATTTAAAAAATAAACAATTTAGATTTTCAGTACAAATCGGCAATTTTATACTTTAACCCCTATTATTTTAGTGGCTATAAATTCTTAGAAGGGACAATACAAATAAAAAATATCTAGGATCCACCGTGACACAAATTAGATTATCTGGGTTGGCTATGATTTATACCTGATGTGAGGCTTTTAAGTACAGTAAACTATTATTAATAAAGTAATAACGTTATGAGATGAAACATATTATGGTACTGCAACTTTATTACGATGGCATAGTCCCTTTATTGAGCATATTATATCCAGCAGATAACGGACATATGGTCTCTAATGGACGTTACTTAGAGTTTTGACGAAACCCAGTTATATAAATCACAACATAGTACGTGACATTCTTAATGGAACTTTATTTTTAACCGACTTCAAAAAAGGAGGAGGTTCTCAATTCGACTGTATGTTTTTTTTGTATGTATGTCATGCGTATTTGTAAACGTATTTGTAAACCAATATTCCTGATTCTTTTTTTATTGGAGAGAGGGTACGTCCATAGTGGTCCCATTTAATTTTGAAGAAATTCATCCACCTCTAAGGGTGGCTATTCACACCTGAAGATTCATTTTTATAAATAGCGCCTATATTTTAGTATGATGAGCAATTATTTTAATGGTTGCTTTTGCTATTCTTTAATTCAAGGCGTTTTTCTCTCAATATAGTTTGAGTAGTGAGAACCGATTTTTATTATCTCCTGTGTCAGGTCCCGTACAGTGGCGAACTAGGGGATGAAGGGGGTTTGCGCACTTTCCGGTAACCGACTTCAATAAAATTTGGTAGTTGTATGTAATTCCACGTACTTTTGAGATCGGTTTTTTTAGTACTCTATACTGAGATTATATGATATCAAGTGACGGGACGAACGAGTCGTGCGCCTGGTGGTAAGCGACACGCCTGCAAAGTCACAGTTGTAGTGCCACTCAGAGCTTTAAATGGCAAAGATCTGAGAGACACTGCCACTGTGCCTGTCACCCTGAAACATAAATTAACTATCCCATGTGCCTGTAATTTCACAAGCACCCTCATCGGCAGTAATGCCCACATTACTGCTTGGCGGCTATAAATTAAATTTTCATAAACGTACTGTGATACTAGCATTGACTTACAAATAAATGGACGATGGGTCTAATACAAAAACCACGAAAAAAATGTCCCAAGTCAACCTATTTAAACGTAGTGACATGTAAAGGAATATGAAAAAGCTAAAACGTTGAATTTCAATTGTAATGTCATCGCAGTACTGTCTAATTTTGCTTGCTTCGCTGTCAGTCGAACAAACGAAGACTAAAGCGCGAATGACGCTCTGTATACGATTTTAACGCCCTATAAGTTTGGACACTTTTTAGCGCGGACCCGACGTCCATATAATTGTAAGTCAATGGATACTAGTATAAGAATGGTTTTTTTTTAAAGGTCGCTCTTAAAAACACTCAGATCTGAAATTGGCCTAACCTCACGTTTTTGTAGGTCAATAGCGACATTACCTTAACCAAAGTCGAATGTCATCAAACTATGAAAGTAGCTAAGGTAAACCTATCTACCTTCACCGTTAGTGAGAGGTATTATACTACTAAACATCCACAATTGTACATAACTTAGAAATTGAAGTCATAGGTACATGTTACCACCGCCTAACATTGGTCAATTCGTTTCAGACAGTTAATGGACGTGGTTGTAATAGGTTGCGGCGCGTCCGGTGTAACGGCGCTGAGGAAACTGCATGATGCTGGACTGAAAGTGCTCGGACTTGAAGCGGCTGATAGAATCGGTGGTAGGATTTGCTCAGTGCCCTTTGGAACCGGATACGTGGATATTGGTGCTGCTTGGTGAGTCAAATGTTTTAACCAAAGTATGAGTACTACTTATATAAAAAGACGCAGCGTGGACGGACCACCTACAAGGTGGACCGATGACCTGGTGGAGGTTGCGGGAATCCGCTGGATGCAAGAAGCACAAATCCGGTCGTTGTGGCGATCTTTGAAGGCAGCCTATGTCCATAGCAGTCGTCTTTCGGCTGAAATGATGGTAATGTAGGTGTGTCAGACGTTTTACTTAATTGGAAGGGGGAAAAGTGTTTTATAATATAAAGAGACGGGACGAACAAATCGTGCACCTAGTGGTGAACGACAAGCCTACCCATAGATATCAGATGCTACTGAGAGCTTTACATCGCAAAAATCTGAGGGGCACTGCCACTGCGCCTGTCAACCTGAGACATAAAGTTCACAAGTCAAAGTCAAAGTCAAAGATTATTTATTCCATAGGTAAAATAAATGTACACTTGAAAACGTCACATTTAAGCTACTGCTCGTTCACTATGCTGACCTCCCTGAGAAGAAGGAGCAAGAAATTCTAGGGATTGCTCTTTTCAACTAAACTTAAATGCTATGGAATACACTTTGAATCAAATTTGTGTGGATTCTGGAGCCATGTCGTCTTTCCATACATCTTTATCTAACACGTAGTCTTCAATTTTGTAATATGATTTTTCGATCAAAATATTTTCAATGTACTTTTTAAACTTAGGAAATGATAAACTTAATATATGCTCCGGAATCTTATTGTAAAAACGTATACAGTTCCCCATAAAAGAGTCCACAGGTCTGTAATTTCTCCAACAGTTACATTATGAACCTAAAATATTCGCGTTATCGAAAAAATAACGTTCAGTAAACGCACGAACTTACAATTTGACGGGTATTATTTATGTACATCGATTCGAAATTTGAAACCATAGTCGAAGTTGTGACAAATATAATAAGTAATTACCTAATATAAATTTACGTCGAAATTGTAAGTTACGTACATAAACGTTTCAAGCGACGAAACGTGGTGCGGAGAGTTCAAAATCTGACTTGTCCGCCTTAAATGTTGACTCAAATATTCAAGTTCACGGGAAGCAAAAAGCGACGGCTAATTTTTGCTAAGCAGGTAAGTTGAAAAAATTAATTATATTTATAATTGTTGACTATGTCAGGCACCTTACAAAAGAGCATTTCATTTGAATAGATAATTCGGAAAAATATCGAATAAAGACGAGGTTGGGCCTCAAAAAAAGGAAATATCTGAATTACCAACTCATCGTATCTTCCAGGTGTCATGGAGAAAAAGACAACAAAGTATTTGAACTGGCCAACACATACAATTTGCTCGGTAGACCAGATAGCGAAGAAACTAAATGCTTTGTTTACAAAGGAACGTCTTCGGAAGAAGCTGAGAAAATTATAGATATACTTGAAAATGCAGTTACTGTTGCTGATAAGAATAATACTAAAGCTATTTCAGAATGTTTAAGGGATGCGTAAGTAGAAATTTATGTGTTCAAATCATCAGAATTATTGGATCCAATTAATGTAATCAAGTTTTCAATTACTTTGATATAATTCATTCCAAATTAGATTACATATTGATGTCTTCACTTGATTTAATTCATTCCAAATTAGATGACATATTGATGTCTTCACTATTCTCACGTAAGTTTGCAGGCATACCTACTATTCGTTTCTATTTTGACTGATTGCTGTCTTCTCGTCCTAGTTTTGGTTACCTTCGATACTTCTGTTTTGGAGACTGTAGCTCATTATTGTCACTTTCAATTTGTTTATCAATGAAGGTGTATCGGTCATTAATTTTCTTTTCATTTTAGTGTGAATTCCAGAAGAAACCTTTCAAAAGATCCTCAATTGGTGAACGCGATAGTGGAATGGTATGAAAGAAACAATCACGTAGGAGGTCAAAACGATCCCCGTACTGGAAAGTCTTTGAAAGGACTTGAAGAACATTGGCCTTGTGAAGGAGAAATCTGGTTGAATTGGAAGGGAAGAGGATATAAGACTATTTTGGATGTCTTACTGGCAAGTACCTACCACAACTATCTTAGGTAGACCTTTAGATAATTTATCTATACGTCAACAAACCATTCCCATATATAGCAATAATTATTCGAACTCCAATGATAAAAAATATTCGAGTACTTGCAAAATAATCTCGCAATATTTTTATGTTTTGCGTCTTTAACAAATCAAGAACAGCCAACATTGTAAATTACGTACTCTAACGAGTTTATCGATCTTCAAGCTTCCTAGTTTAGTAAAGTTTCTACTTTTCAGAATAGATATCCTGACCCGTCAAAGGAGATCCCTGTACAGATACTTCTGAAGAAGGAAGTAGAGATCATTAAATGGCGGTCGGCTGATGATCAGGTCAATCCCTTAGTTCACGTAAAGTGCAAAGATGGCAGCTTGTACGCTGCTAAGAGTGTGATTGTTACTGTACCGCTGGCTGTTTTAAAAGAAAGGTAAGATGGAAAAATAATTTAACAGTAAAGAAAATCTATTTTAGAAAGACGACTGCGATTTATGCAATGTGAAGATAGAAGCAAAACATATATAGAGAAAACCTCTTAACATGGCATTCCTGTCATTAAAACAAAGACCTTTTGATTTTATGAATATTTTATTTCTGCAGGTGTAATTCAACGAACGGGAATCATAAAAAATTTTGAGTTTCAATCTCGACCCTATTGAATTTGAATTTCAGGCACAACCATCTCTTCAACCCACCTTTACCTGCCGAAAAAGTAAACTCTGTCAATAACCTCCATTTCACAATTTTGGGCAAAATCTACATTGAGTTTGAAAAGCCTTGGTGGCCAGCTAAACGTTCAAATTTTTCCATTTTTTGGCGCGACGAGGATAAAGCTAGGTTTTCTACGAGCGAAAAGTGGATAACCGAGATTCATGGACTCCAGACAGTTGAACATCAACCCAATTTACTATTGGCTTGGATTTATGGAAACGGAGCAGAGGAAATGGAGAAAGTTAATTTGGAAGGAGTGAAGGCGGGTGTTCAGAAGTTGTTTGATGTAATGCTAACGCAGTATAAAGTCACAACGATAGGGAATATTTTGAGGTGTGTCTGTTTTACTGATCATAAAAGCTACATTATCCTGATATTGAATCATGAATCGGATCTCATTTTATGTTTTTGAAAATAAAACTAATATTTGGGTTAAAACACAATATGAACAGCTGATGAATAAATACAGAAAGGGTAACCGGTCGCTTTCCAGTAATATTTGAGGCCTTTACCTAACAAGTTTTGGCATCAAAGCAAAACTGTAGCAGCAGAATACAATTACATCCTACAATAAGCCTCGGTTACATATGACCAAAATTTCACTTTTAAAATAGACATTCACGTCGTGTCGTTTGCGAGGTATTATTCTTTTTCTATGGTATAATTAACGTTGCAGATCTCAATGGACCATCAATCCTCTAGCAAGAGGAACATATTCTTACCGCAGCGTAGCGTCTGAACAAAGCGGGGCCAACGCCGTCACCCTGAGCGAGCCCCTATTCAGCGGGCACAGTCCGGTGGTATGTTTCGCAGGAGAAGCTAGCTCGCATCATTATCATAACTCTGTACACGGAGCCATAGACGCTGGATTTAGAGAGGCAGAACGGTTGATAGACGCATTTAGACGAAAACTATTGTAAAGCTTTAACTATTAGGCTCAGCGTATATATATGATTATATGAACAAACTATTGTACCTACCAAAATCGAGGAAATAAAATTTGACTAGGTTGGTTCAAATCTCAAGTAGGTAACCACATTTAGTTGGTACGTCGTTTTCGCTTTTTGCCCGTGAATCACCTGATTTTGAAGTTACACGTGTGTTTAATTCTTCACACCAAGACAAGCTTATTTTGGCTCAGAAAGTTTTCAATCTGGAGAACCATTAAGCTTAGCTTAAATTTGATTTCACCTCGGTACAGTCGGTATTTGATCGGTTTTAGTAACGGAAACCTAGCTAGCTACGCAGAATTTGATTTGCAAACGAAGCAGGAACTAAAAGTACTACAAATACCGTCTACACCTGGGCACAATTAGATATTAAGCTACACAGTTGCTGTGGTTGTCGAGATTAAAAACGTCAGTGAAAGGTTTAAACCTGACTTTCGCTACTATAACCAACCAAAAATCGACTACTTGTTCTGAAAATTGAGTGGACTGTCCACTACAAAATAAGCTAAAAACACCCTTGATAACTTTAAACTCTGTACCGCCATTACCTAGATTATCTGCAACCAAGTATCAATTACTAGTCAAATGTTAATTCTTCAATAACGGCGCCGCCAATTCATTGTTAATTTTATACTTGAAAGTGGAAATTGGGACCAAAATCATCGCCCTGTGTAACGCTCATTTCGTCGCCTTACGTTCACAAAAGTACGAAGTTACTGAAATGCAAAAAATGTATTGTTTATACAAATTTGCTGGCTGATTTCACATCATGGGAAGAAAATGGTTCCTTCATATTCACACACTGGCTTTTACCTATCTTAAAGTGATGCATTCAAATTAACACCCTTAATAAGAAATTATAACTGCCTCCGTTGCCGAACGGTTACCATACCGGCTGCCACGCAGAGGACCCAGGTTCGATTCCCGGGCCGGGAGAAATATTTATTATTATATAATATTTGTATGGCGTACATTTACTTCTCTCGTGAGTTTGGGGGTAACTTGTGGTTGTCTAGGTGTGTGTCCATGGCACCCGCGACACAGGGTTTCCTTAGTGCGGAGCTATGTTAAGTGTGTACGTTATTATTATTATTAATTTAAAATAAATAGAAAGTTTTGCAATCTCCTGAATAATCACGCTTTATTTATAAGATTCGAGCTTGAGAAAGTAACGAATCGACTAGGCGTTTTTGAGATAGGTCACTACCCAAGAAAACAAAGATAAGGGTATAAGAATTTGCCCTGAGGAACTTCCTAAGGAAGTTGTGAAACAAATGAAACTACAAACAATTTGTTAAAATTATTTGTTTTATTGTTAACACTTATCATAAATTGATCACGATTTTTATGTATCATACAATTGTACTGTGTAGGTGTTTCTACATATTATAGATTTATTTAACATTGATAATTATGCTGCCCAATACACAATCTCAAAATAAAAAAATATGAAACAAGCAAAAATTTATTTTCATTCAACTAATAAATACTAACTTCTATTACGGTGATCCCCTCAAATCGCTATATAAATAGCAGTTTTGATTTTATTGAATATCATGATGTTTTACTACTATGATATTAATTGATTTTTTGTGACATCATTCCACTACTTTCTTATAATTATTAATACAAGGATCGAACACATTGAGGAATTCCTTAAATAATAAGAACGCGAACCTACTTCTACATGCCAACGCTGATCTGCCCTCCACTAACTAAAGCGCAGTTAAATGACAAAGTAGTTTGAGATATCATAAAAAAACCGGAACCCAGTTTTAGAATATTGAAATTGTTGAATGATATTTCAGCTACGCATCGTGAGGGTAAGTTCCGATAAGTCGAACTCGTTAACTAATTTAAAATGTTTTTAAAATATAATTTTGTGCTCTATCTTTTTCTATTTGAAACGGTTATTTGACCATTTGTTGATAAAAGCCAAAAAACCCAATATAAAAAATGTATTACAAACACTAAGGCTCCATTTACATTGCGGCGGAACGGAATGGAATCGAAGTGTCAAATTCGCTTCCATTCCTGCCCGCCGCTATGTAATTTGAGCCTTAGGGAAATTGGTCTGCGACTCGGTCTCTAGCTCAGTTGGTAGACCGGTGGCCGTAGACAGGTATACAGACGTAGGTCAGAGCAAAGGAATGTTTCTTTGTTTTCGATCTTTATATAAATACTAGTAGCAGTTGTTAGCTAGTATTCTATACCAAAATGCGTGGGAAAATTAAAAAGCATTGGAAGTAAATACCCCTAAAATATTGTTAAGTAAATAGTCACGGATATAACAGTTTGTATTGTGGGTGCTGGATGAAGAGGTCCCGAGTTTGATTTCATGTGGGACCAATTTGGGAAATAAACTTTTCTAAAATGTTTCTGGTCTGGGTGTTCTGGGAAGTGAACTCCGTTGATCTGGTATTTAGGCTGCTAACAGATTGACTGCATGCCGTTGATAACGACTTCACGGATTAACTACATACAATCGATCTAAGGCTGCATGCAGTTAATGCTCGAAGATATTATCAGAGACCTTGACTGCATGAAGTTGATGAGGATTCCCTTCCCAACTTTAACATCACGTAATTGGTGTGATTGTCTGGCACATTGTTATTATTACACTATTAATGTAACAAATGTTACATTTAAATTAAAACTATTTTTTCGGATCAAAATCAAAATTTGAACTATAGTTCAAAATAGGGTGGTTTGCGTTAATAATATTAGTCATATAGCTGGTTGTTGATTTTTACCATCTCAATCAGTGACCATAGCACCCGTAGAGCTCGAAAGTTGGCTTAATAAATATACGCATACATTTCCATGTCAATGCAACAAAACACGTCAATTAAATTAACAACAATGTATGGTCTCATACATCCGTCAGTATAACTCCGCGCACGCGGCTAAAGTAAGCCACGTGCGCACTTTAATTTAAACACGTAATTCACACTTTATTTTACGTGGTACGTTGCCAACTGTCCACCGATACACTACATAAAGGAAAGATTTGCCACCATAACACCTGTATTTTATACCAATATACTTCTATTTTTATTGCAAGTCTTTATCTGCGTACTACCACTATAATCCATGTATGGAGTAAGATGGCACATACATTTTGGTCCTTCGAGCCGGTCCAAGCATTTTGGAAACCTTTTAAAAGCTTTTCGAAACTTCATTGATTTACTACTACAAATTCAAAATATACAATCTTTATCAACATATACAAACACTTTTTTGTTCAGTACTTATATAATAACTTAATATTTAATAATACATTCATAAAAACACGCCTGTATCCTCTCGATTTTTTATTACACGTGTCAGGGAAATGACTTCACCTGAAATTAAATGGAATCCAACTGTGAATAAAACCTATTAGAGTGAGTAAGATGTTGATGATACAATCACCGCCCTAACCAACTCCACCCCGCATGCCTACAAAATTAATCTCACGCTCCCAGCAATCGCTTGAGTCTTTCTGTACACGTCTGTTATTCTAAAACTTTTGAACTTTTTTCAGGACATCCTAAATATGATTGAACTATGCATACCAAGGTTGTCCCGTGTTTTCATCAAAATTCGCTCTAATTCGCGTGAAATTGTTATCAGACTTCGACTGCATGAAGTCGGTGTTGGCTGCATGAAGTTGATTATGATGACTTCTCGCATTAATAATATTTTTATTTATCTCCACAATACAAAACAAAGTAACGTTACAGTCAATCTGTTAGCACCCTTAGACATTAAAGTCATAGGGGTACATAATATTACGTAATACATTTTTTATTTTATTATGATAGCAAGTGACAGGAAGATCAAGTCGTGCGCCTGGTGTTAAGCGACACACCTGTCTATAGAAGTTGCAGTGCCACTCAGAGCTTTAAATCACACAGATCTGAGGGACACTGCCACTGCGTCTGTCACCCTGAGACATAAGTTGACAAGTTTCGGTGGAAAGAGGTAAGGTCGTAATACTTCCCTGGATGAACTCTTTCACAAGGAGTTGCTATTAAAATATGATTTAGTAATAATATAAAAAATAATGTGTACAATAAAATACCAAGTTAGTGTATCTGACTTGGAAATGGCTGCATTCAAGTAAACACTCGCAAATCACACTTTTTACAAAATCAACGAATGATGGATTGAAATATAAATGAATATTCTTTTCTTTAAAAAATCAAGATGCACTCTGTATACTCTGTATATAAAGTAACTTTTAAAATACTAACCGCCTTGCAGGGCCTTATTACTAATATCGTACAAAACATAATAAACATGCCAAAAAAAAATTTTTTGTTTTGTCGTACTGTCCCACACCTTTTAAGGTCTGTTTTTGGTACTAACGTAGTAAGTTCAGATGTGCAAACGACCTCGATGTCCTCCACCCTCGCTTCTGCGTTTTGCACAGAGTTATCACCGTTTACAGCGATCTATTTAAATGTATTTATTTTTGTATGAAAGTAAAATTGAAGAATTATTAAAAGCCATGGAACTAAAGTTGTTGTTTATGATGTGAACATTGTCCTGGGAGGATGTTAGTATTTTACAAATAAACCTGTATCATCGGGTATATAACCAGAAATAGAGACGAAATAAGGACGATCCATTCCTGGCAACTCATTAAGCAAATGGTACTGATATCACTGTTAAATATCAACTCTCGTTTGCGCTGAAATCACAAATTAGAAAGCTGACATAGTACAGCGCCAACAACTGACCTGTGTGTATGTTTCCGTATATTCCAAAAATATTCTACATTTATTGTAATAAAGATAATATCTCTAACAATGGTTCCATTAGATGATGTGGGAAAAACAGCAAAACATCTAATTACAAAACAAACGGAATCACATTTCATCGGTAATTATATATTAAATATGTAATTATAATATGTAATTTTTCAATTTTCGTCTATTATAGCAAAGCTCAAGTTAAACTGGTCGATTTAAAGTGAAACAATTGACGACACCCGTCATTGTTTCGAATTCCGGCTGGCCAATCGGAGCCCAGTTGTCATCGTAATGATTTAGCAGAATATTTTTTAAACAAATTAAATGACATAAAGTTGATTTACCTATAGGCAATAACACTATGTTGTCTTGATGAATAAATATTGACTTCAAAAATAAAATTCTTAAAATAATAATAGTCCATACTACACTTGTTACGCCAGTAATAAAGATACAAGACAATAAAAACTATTATAAGAATAAAACATCATCGAAATCATTAAAATAAATATATAAAACAGTTTGAACTAGAAAGTCAGTCAGACATTCAGTGTCAACAATCAAATACTAAGCAAAAATGCCGTTAAAACCAAAAACGAAAATCTGTAACAAACGCATAGAAAGTTCTGGTAACACTACCTGTAGCTCAGTTGGTAGAGCGGTTACTCTAGGTTGGCATAGAGACGCAAGTTCGAAACGACTCCAAGGAATTTTTCTTTGTGTTAGGTCTTTGTATTAATAATTATAATCAAGTACTTCTATTATTTTCTAATCCCATTCCTGAACTTTAATAAAAAAATTATTAACTTTCATCCCATGTCACTGATATAACGCCCTTTCACTAGGAACGCTTTGCTTCCTTATACATACAGCTTAGGAATGGAGTACAATTTCCAGAAAACTACGAAACGAGAGAAAGAAGGGAATTTCTTGACAAATGCATATTTTTGTCAGTCTCATCATCACTCAACCTAAGAATGTGGCCAATTACTATTTTATTTAAAAAATATTAAGGTTTTAAAAATTTCACAACTCACGCTGAATGTCAGACTGCCTTTCAAATTAGTCAGTTCAAACCCATTACGGGACTAACATTTTTTTGCTTATCATTAAGAGATCTATTAATGATCATGATCATTGACTTACAATTATATGGACGTCGGGTCCGCGCTAAAAAGTGTCCGAACTTAGAGGGCGTTAAAATCGTATACAGAGCGTCATTCACGCTTTAGTCTTCGTTTGTTCGACTGACAGCGAAGCAAGCAAAATTAGACAGTACTGCGATGACATTACAATTTGAATTCAACGTTTTAGCTTTTTCATATTCCTTTACATGTCACTACGTTTAAATAGGTTGACTTGGGACATTTTTTTCGTGGTTTTTTATTAGACCCGTCGTCAATTTATTTGTAAGTCAATGATCATGATCGTTATTTTTTAGTTTTCGTTTTCATTACACTATTTTTGTAAAATTATTGTGCAGATTATGTGTAAACAACATCTTGAACAACTTCAGATTTAATGATATTGCCTAGCTCATCAACCTCGCACATCGTTATTTCCACTCCACTATCAACGGACTTCATCTTTTGCTGTTTTTCAATATTTTCGTCAACTTTTTTATCATCGTTTTCATTATTCTCTTTCAAGGTTATTTCAAAATGTTTAGGAGTGGTCTCCGTTGCTTCAGCTTTTAGTTCTACATTGAATTCGAAGGAATTGCGGATGGATTCCTTCGGGTAGCCATCGACGATTTTCTTGGAAACTTCTAGAAACTCGTAACGCGTTGTTGTCAGTCTGTACATGCCGTCTTCACTTATTTGGTATCTGGAACAAAAATAGTTGATTTCACCACCACATCAGCATATGACGATAAGCTCATTGACTCAACGATTTGCTACATGGACGCTGGATGACGAGGTCCCGGGTTCGTTTTCCCACAAAACCAATTTCGGACGATAACTCTGGGTGTGTTTAGTGTGTGTCTGGTTTGGTTAGTACCTCTGGAGTGAATTTTGTTGCTCCGGTACTGAACAAGGAACTTCCTTGCTTGAGACCAGAAATTGGTACGATTGTCTGACACATTACTATTATTATTTTTATATACAATAATGAATACATTATTATAGACAAGGAAAAGGCTACACATCTATAATATTGTTAAGTTGTTGAAGAACTATGGAGAGATTTATAATGGTTTAAAACATAACCAAAAACCAGACAGTATTATAATATTTTTTAAATGAAACCTACTACATCACACTATTAAACAAGATCTCCTATGAAGAGATGAATAGCATGGCGGTAAAGTACATCCACCTTCAAAGGGTTACCCTGTCAGAAAACCGAAATGACATTTTCCAGAAATGACGTTTGCTCGAATTTCCATAACCTAGAAAGTAATTTTGAGAGGAAAATGTTTTTTCTTTTAAACCTAACTTAACCTAAACTAACCGAACCTAGTTGTGTCTTTGCGATAACCGTCCAACATACCCCGAAAGAACAACGGTTTCGTTATAATTCGGTTTTCGGGGTAATGAAAATTCGAACAAACGTTATTTCGGAAAAAAGAAATTCGAGTTTGTGATAGATTACCCCCTTCAAAGAGGTATATAGGCAGGTTCAAGTCACTGTTTTCCTTCATCATTAAATCAACCTCAGGATTCTACAGCAATCTAATCCCTACTCCCATCTATACTATCAATTTTCTTATTAAACAATATCTTACTAAATAGCTCACCTAAACCGGCTATGTCCGCAAGGCCACTGCGCTCCATGCACTTTAACCAAATGCGTGGTCAATCTACTCCCTCTTGAGAACACCTTTGTTTTTTTCTCCGGACACATGTGACATGCATACTTCTTATTAGATACTTTCTTCGGTTTTGATTCTATTTCAGAATTTTCTTCATCTGACATTTCTTTGTCGCTGTCCATTTCCTTTTTGAGTTTCCTTTTCTTACGAGTGTGAGTCGGTATGTGCATTCGTAAGTCAGATTTTGTTACTGCCCTGGAAGCAAGTTAAAATTTATCAGTTACATAATGGTCACATATAACGTTAAAAGTTATCTGTAATCTGGCAAACTTTGTAACAGCCATATAAGTTTGTTTAAAAGCTGTAAAATTTGCTTATCTATACAGGGTGTATGGCAGATGTTCCAACAAAATTTTTTGGGAGTTTGGGGGGGTCATTACTAGCGAAAATTTTTTTGGTACTATTATAGCTACAAATAAAAAATTGTTACGATTCAAAGACGCGATTCGTGTAATGAATTAAAAAGAATGTAAAAATCATATTTCTGTTACCGTGACACCTAGGATATGGGGTCAGCAGGTAAAAGCTAGCGAATGACCCAAAACTCCCAAAAAATGTTGTCGCTCGATCTGCCAAACACCCTGTATATCGGAGGGTGTGTGAATTTTCGTACAATGATGAATAGTTTTACAATATCAGGCGGGCCGTGTGTTTCAACGAATGTGTCAGGCGCACGTACCTGTAGGGGCAGTGCGGGCAGGCGTGCACCCGGGCGTCGTCGGGCGCGAAGTGGCGGTAGCGGTAGTGCTGCGCCAGCGTGGCCGGCGACGGCGCCGACATGTCGCAGCGCGCGCAGGCGTACGCGCTGATGTGCTGGCGCGCGTGCTCGCGCAGCAGGTACTCCGTGGCGAACGGCGCGCCGCACACCGAGCAGCTGTGGCTCGAGTACGGGTACACGTTCTGCGCCCACAGACGACAGACGCAAGCATTATACTTAGAAAATAAAAATTGTATTGCTAGGGATAACTAGATGCTAAATTGCAATAAGGTCCCCATATAAATAAGTTATCAAAACTCGGCTCTGCAGTGTACCCGATAAAAAAAATACGAAAGCCGTCAGACGTCGAAACGGCTAGATTGGTTTACTTCAGCTAGTTTCACAGTTTAATGACATACGGAATTTTGCTTTGGGGTAATATCTTTATCCTGCAGAAACGTGCGGTTAGGGCAATTTACAATCTGGGCCCCGAAGTGTCTTTGAGAGATTTGAGTGTATTTGAGAGATAAGTTTAAGCAGATTAACATTCTTACACTGACGTCACAGTACATTTATGAAAATGTTATTTGTGTTAAATTATGTTTATGTTAAAAGTATTCATTTTTTCATGAAAAGTAGTGACAGACATAACAGTAACACGAGGAATAAAAATAAACTAGCTGTCCTCGACAGTCGTCTTCATAAAGTCTCAAATTAATTTAACGGGCAATGTAAACGCTTCTATAATAAGATTCAGATTCATATTCAAAATTTGCCATTTACGAGGTTTAAAACTATAGTGAAACAAAAACTTTATACTAAGGCACAACTTCTGCGTACTTGGATGACAAAAAATGGTGGTAGTGACCCATTCACCTCTTGCAGGTATTTTCGATCCAAGATGTTTAAATTAAATATTAAAATTTATATTTACAAAGAGCAACCCCTAGAGTTACTTATTCATTCTTCTCAACGTGACTATACATATGTTAAGATCAGCGGCGCGTGGTCGGATTTAGATTACGGGGTCTGGTTATGCTGCAGAATGCGCCATACCCGGAGCTCATCCGGCCTACAAGAACGAATGGTTTGTTCAATAAATAGAAGAAACGTCAAATTTAACAATGAAACATTTATTTAGCGTCTGTAAAATTTTAAGTAATTTTTGTAGCTCTCAAACATTATTCTTTCGTTGTGGAAGGCACTAAACAGTCTCCCTATATATCGTAGGTGCTTTGTAGAAAGGGCGTAACGACATTTCGAAAACATTTTCAGGGGAGCGTGTTTTAGCAGTTCACGACTGTTTAAAAATTTTTACGCCCTGCTGTAAACTTCAATTGTAGTTTTAATTAAGTATAAGTTTTCAAAAAACATTCGTGAAAACCTAAAACATGCTCGCGATATTAAAATACAGTCATTAATTGTTGTGGGTAGATCTAAGTAATAAAAAGAATAAACCAGTTGTTGTCGCACACTCGCCGTGTTTCATTGAAATATTACATTAATAAACTTCAAAAGGAACGTACCTGTCTCTGCAAGTGCTCGGTAAGTTTACGATTGCACGAGAAGTGCAAACCGCAGTGGTAGCACGCAATGAGCCGTTCACGCGTGTGTGACCGAACGTGCATGGCCAACAAACTGCGTCGCGGGAACGTCGCACCACAACCCGCCCATGAGCAAAGACTGTTCTCTGAATAATTCGTGTGTTGGCGGACATGGTCGAAGAACATCTGCAATATACTGATTATTACAACCAATGCAAGTATCTTACATCAAATGATCATAGGATGATAGGAATGATTAAATAAAAACAAACAAAACAGATCAACATTTGATTAAGAATGTTCTCCAGTTTCTAGGAAGACAATCTACCTTATTTCTAAGAAACTACTTAAGCATATTGCAGTTTAATAAAATCGATCAGGACCTACGAGGTAGAATAATGGTCAAATGCCACCAAAACTGGAACAGCACAACACTCATATGCTGCCCCCTGGTACACTCCTTTAACTCGGAAATGACAACTATCTGGGAATGACAATGGTCTTTGAAGAAGCAAATTTACAGAATTACTAAGCACTCATTGTAACCCATTGTTTCACATACTGATGCTGGAGAACAAGAGAGCAGAGGTGTGTTGCCTAATTATAGGTATATAGTCTCTAAAAATCTGGAATTGACGTAGATCAATATAATAGTGTAACCAATTGATTGTAGTTTTTCAAGAAGTTGTATAATAAAGCATCAACAAGCAAATTAAGTGCAAAGAAACATGGTACCGTATGTAAGCTGATGTATGACACACATGCTTCACGTTGTCAACACGCATCAGTGCTTTCATACAAGCTCGTCAGTTAAGTGAACTCATGCCTTGGCCCTTCTTTAGAATATCTCTCAATTTGGTCATGCTAATGGCATAAATTAATGTGTGTAATAACATGAAAATGTAAGGTCGCCCTCCGGACTGTGGCGTGGCAGCCGCGCGTCTGCAGCGCTTTAGTAAATTTTTAGATCAATTAATTGTGACTGCGAAAATGCGTGCGTGTCGCTGCAACTGCACTTCCACAATATTGTACGAAAATTAGTAGCGGCTGCAGCGCCACAGTGGTGCCACTGCAGCACTTCTGTAAGCGTCTAATTTAAAGGCACCTGAATGTAAAACAATGTTTAACTGAATAAACATATATTTTATGTAATTTTTACAAGAATAAATCCATTAAAATGGTTACCATACTTGAAATGAGCCTTTTTAGTTAAAGGCTTCTTTGGTGCTCTATAACAACTAACTTTGCTATACAAAACTATATCCTTCATCATATCACTCACCTGAATAGAATTATATTTCTCCGTACACCCTGTCCACATACAAACATGATCACAGTATAGCAATGGCAGCTGATTTCTCTTACTGCTATCCTTCTTACACCGTGCAAGTTTCAAAGTGGCCCTGCCATTGAATCCAATTGCAAGAAGTCGAGAGTGGTATGCGTGGTAATTAATATGGCGAACCATCTCTTGGAAATCCATTGTTTTGTGACCACATATATCCCAAAGACAGACATATTCCACTGAAAAATATAATTTCTTTGTTACTTTACACAGAGTGTAGCAAAGTTACTTATGAGTTTATGTTTTGGTGTTTTACAGGATAGGTTTATCTTGACTAAATGATAACTTAAAAAATTAATCGTCGTGCACAACAACAACAGTTTCTTTTTTACAAATTAATGACGTTTTTATGTCATAGTTAACAGTTGCTTTTTTTATACTGATGAAGGCAGTATTTAATGTAAAGTATATTTTTTTAAATACAGCGAGTCTATTCTGCTACATTCGAAGTTGACATACAATTATTTTCTTAATATTTCTCGACACTCTTCAGATTTACAAATGCATTTAAGTACAAATGTTCAGTCCTATTAATTGTTATATTTCACATTCAATGCACAGATAATGAAACTGATAAAATAAAATAATAAAACTATCTTTTAATTAAATATAAATAAAGTGTGATTTATTTTTAAATAAGTACAAAATAATGTATTTTAAGTTAAAATTTTCGAAATTTCTAGTTCTAATTAAAAAAAGTTATTATTGCACCAAATAAATACAACAGAAATATTAAGTTAACAGAAAAATGAGCAAAGGTGGAGCTATCCCTAAAAGAGATCTCTTCCAGGCAACACAGGGCAATGAGAGCTAAGGTTATAAGCAGGCAATAGTGTGCAAGAGAGAATGAAAAAGAAATATAATAAACTACATAAATAAAAAATACCAAGTATCATAATGAATCATAATAAATAGCATCAATAATGTAATAATAATGTATGTAAAAACTGTGTATTATTCTACCGTCCACTAACTAAAATGTGACTAAGCGACAAATGGTCAAATATCTGTTTTAAATAGAAAAAGAAAGAGCACAAGGTTCTCTTTTACAGTTAAGATTAGTTAACATGTCTGACTTGTAGGAACTTACCCTAACGATGCAAAGCTGAAATGTCATTAAACAATTTTAATATTCTAAAACTAGATTATGATATCGGCCCCTCCTACGTAAAGTATCGTAGGTCGAAATTGCCAAGTTTACAGGGGAGCGTTTTAAAGTTCTGAATTCACTGAAAGAGTGATCACCATAGATCATCTAACCGATATCTAGAATTTTATAATACTCTATGTGAGTAATGAGATTGGCCGAATAAAACTGAGAAATGCTAAAGTCACGTGTTATGTTCGTTTCAGTGAATTCAGAACTTTAAAACGCTTCCCTGTAAATTTGGCAATTTCGACATACGATACTTTACGTCGGAGGGGTCGATATGTCAAAAAATTATTTGGTCACTTAGCCATATTTTTGGTTAGCGGATAGTAGTATGGTCGTTTGTTACTCATTAGATTACTACATTTTCAAAGGTTTTTGATATCTCTTATATGTATGGAATAATCACGTGGACACGCTTAACAATTACATTTACCTATACAGGGCTTTAGTATAATAATATTTACTCCTTAACAATATACCAACCAAATTAACAAACAGACATAGTATCTATACTTCAAAGATGATTGAATGCATCCATTCTACACCAAGTGCAAAAACCAACTGATAAAAATCCAACAACAGCAAGATTGCAAAGAGATGTTCAGAACATAGCTAGACTGTACCTTTCTCTTTGTCTTCAATTACATGTACTTCTGACATATGATCTCTTACATGTTTTTGCATAAGATCGTAGTTATTGAACACCCATTTGCATGACTGCCATTCACACTCCATGCGTAGATTATCCAGTCTAAGTCTCCGCAGTGACTGAGAAAAGCATATAAAATACATTTAATATGTGACAGAATAATCGAGATTATATCATCTTACAATTTTGCAATTACACTGAATCTTGTACAGTAAATGTTCGGTATAGACAATTGCCTCAAACATAGCGCCTCAACAAGAAACCACTTACCACGGGTTTGGGTTCAACGTCAGGTTCATCAACGCCTGGAGGCACAGATGCTTCATCTTCAGCCGCTGACAATAAAAACTTCTTGCGATCGGCGTTTGTTTGGATTATAAACTGAATATCGTTTTTATTCTGCAATGACAGCTTCTTAGGTTCCTGGCTGTTTTGTTTTTGCAACCAATCCATACATCGTAAAAGACTACCCTTGGCAATGGTCTTTTCCACATGTTCTTTTACCTCCATTTGTAGTGCATAAAAAAGCGTAAAGTCACCGAGATTTTATTCGAAAAACCCAGTTATTATAGGCGATTAGTATTTAGTCTACATGCTATATTTATAACTGTCACCACAAATTATTAATATTGTATTGTCACGAGCTCCCAAGTACGTCACAAGTAGAACTTCTTCGTTTTGCTCAATGGCGGTTCCTTCTTTTTAAGATTTCGCCAGTGTCGAGTTTTCCGCTTAGCATAATGTAAGGGCTACTGCAGCTGTGTTACTACGGTACAACGAGTATTGTGGGAGGACAATGTGAGAAATGCAAGTTTTAATACATAGAAAGAAGTAGAACATACACTCGACCCTCGACCACACTCGACTTACTGGTTTTGGTTTGTGTCAAATCAAGTGTCATCAGTGAGATTTTTTTTTTAAATTAATTTATTTCTGGCCATGGAAACAAAGTCCTTCAGCCGAAAACATAAAAATAAGTTTTTCTGTAAATATGGCCGCCACAAAGAGGATAGGCAATTTGAGGCGGCGCGGCGTGCTTGGATTGACTCGGGATTCCTTAGAACGGGCCGATACGGGTATTTTAGTTCGAGATTCGTATAATTTCGCGTTTTAATCTTCGATTAAGGCACAATAGCACTATCCTATTCCACTTTAAACTAGATTTCACAAAATAATTGACAGTCAAAATAAAAACGACACTTTTCCCTCCAAAAGGTCCAGAGCGAATCCTCATCAGTGAGGGATCAACAGTGTTGCCAGGTTTTGCAAAGTTAATTCGCCAATTTATGTATGTTACTTAACTGATGTTCGCTTAATGCATAAAATCCCTGAAAATCAAGGAAAACAATTCTACAATTCTGTTTGCTGGCGGAGATTGGGGAATGTGAACTCTCTTATTTCCTCAAACCCCAAATGAGTTATTTTACAACTGCATTCTCCACAAAATCCCCACTCAAATTTGTAATTCTCCAGACATTTTATTAAGTAGCCTAAAATCGCCTTTTCCTATTTCAAACATAGCCAGAGAATAAAGAATAAAGAGAACGGGCACTCTTCGCCCCTCCCTAGTTTTAGATACCGCACCACGCCCCGCATATTGCCGGTCACATGGACTGAACGACAACAAGGCTTCCGGCGAGCCGTTTTCGCGCGAAGGCGACTTTGATATTTGAATATAGTTTTCATTTGTTCATTACGAAATTTGTATGTTAATATAAAACATCATTTTACGCATTGACTTGCAAATAAATAGACGACGGGTCTAATACAAAAACCACGAAAAAAATGTCCCAAGTCAACCTATTTAAACGTAGTGACATGTAAAGGAATATGAAAAAGTTAAAACGTTGAATTTAAATTGTAATGTCATCGCAATACTGTCTAATTTTGCTTGCTTCCCTGTCAGTTGAACAAACGAAGACTAAAGCGTGAATGACGCTCTGTATACGATTTGAACGCCCTATAAGTTCGGACACTTTTTAGCGCGGACCCGACGTCCATATAATATTAAGTCAATGATTTTACATTACTATTTATAAAGGTCGTGAATTGTGCTGTGTACGGCTGTTTATCATCATTTCCGAAAGATGAAACGAAGTAATTTAAAAAAAACTTATGTCTGAGCCGCATTCAGTTATTGTTTTCTTCATTTATTTACTGCAGAGAAATATGTGTATGTAAAAAAAATACAAATTTATTATATCAATATAATGAAACGACATGACTTCGCGAATTTTCTATTCGTATTGCCGAATATTATTAACTAAACTTGGACAAGCAATTTCAAATACCTTGGTTACCTTCATTGACTTACAATACTAAAGTCAATGGTTACCTTCCTTACAAGTACATGTCCGAAATATAACATTTCAAGTGCTTTTAATATATTTTTGAAATAAATCTTCAATATTACTCTAGTTGGTGAATTAATGAAAAATATAATAATATATCAATACAAATACCTAATAGACATAAATAATTATTAGGATTCTATTAATAGAATCATAGATAACAGATTCGCGTTAGAATTTTCGCTATGTTGCCGCTCTGACCACGTAACGTAATAGTGCGAGAAAGTGATGGGTAACCCTGCCACGTTACGCACACATTTGCGCGTGTGCAGATAGCGCCTTGCGGTATGTAGTAGTATGTAGTAGGTAAATAATTTTCAACCGTTGTATGAAGTGTCCGGGGTGTGACATAGCCTAAATATCGCCGAGTCGCCGATCACTCTGGCAACACTGGTGACTCAGTCAGTCAAGTCATCATTTCAGTTATGTTAGGTTGATACATACATACGTAACATATACATACTTCGCTAGAAATGACAAATTATTTTACATGACTATTTATAATTTTATGAAAACTGGCAACCCTACAAATGTTATCTATAGACCATATACAAGAAGAGTAAAAGTTTCCCCGTTTTAAAACATATCAGCATCATGTCAGTCAAAACACTGTACGTGGCTAAAACGCTCACCGCGAAAAGCCAAGTGAAATAAGAAATACGCCATCTACTCTCGATTTCCGCCCGAAACAATTACTATATTCGACAAAATTAAAAGACAAGTATCAAGTATGAAGCTTCATTCGCATCACGCATCTTTTCATTTGGTCAAGTATTGCTTATTTGGCAGTAATTGTTTCGGACGGATGTCGTTCGGAGATCGAGAGTAGAACCCCTGGATTGAGTATGATTTAAAGCACTAGAAATCATAGCAATGATTTTGTTAATTTAAATGTAATGAGTCATGTTCAAAATACCTGATAAAAAGGTACCTACTTAATTTTGCTTTCAAGGCCCATAAAACGTAGAAAAATTACATAAAATAATTTTGATTGAACGCTTAACCTAATAAAATTATGTAGGCTGTAAAGGCTTTTGCTCTGTTAAATTTATTTTAACGGTATTTAATCGGGTTATATTCCAAATTAGGGATGTCAGGCTGTGCCGGTAAATTTTCCGAAATTTCTGGTTAAAATTTTTTATTGGAATGGTTTTATTTTTTGGTTTTAAACTTGAAAAAATATAGAAGACTCAAGATATTGTCATCTGTTCTGTCTTAAAATTTCTCGTTATTTTTCCAGATTTCCTTTTAAATCGGAGGTTACGAAAAAATGGTTATCAAGCACCGGTCGTGTAAATTGGCAACCAAACAACTGCTCGCGAATATGTTCGAAGCACTTTAAAGCACTACACTTATCTGGAACCACAATCAGTCCCGACATTGCATATAAAGGTAAATATTGATAAACATTTTAAATAAATGTAAATGAAAGATTGACAATTTGACACTATGGTAAAATCCTTGATCATGATGAGACTCTGTCTTTCTATCCATCTCTCTTTCACAACTCTATAATTTATGGCACTCTGAATAAGCATTATCAATATCAGCTATCTCATATAATTTAATACACAAGACCCCGGCTTGGCGTGCGTGGCCACACACGATACAGAGAATGTCCTATAGACGGTTACACTTATATATAGAGGTTCTGCTATAGAATAAATATACCCTTTCACTTCTAATGCTCTTAAAGTGCGTATTTATGCTGGGTGTAGGCTGCATAAAACAGGATTTTATGCTCTAGTGCATAAAATAAAATCGTTGTTTAAAACCGAGGCAATGACGCCTGCGCCAACAGCCACACACACTAGAACTGTATAAAATAAAGTTTTACTTTTATTTTTTTAATCCGTATTAAAAATCCCGTAATTATTATTGGAGGCATCTCAAGTTCATAATAAAATACAAAGTAATACACTGAATATGTCAGGAATTTAAATTAAATTACATATATTAAATATGTCTAATTGTTGTAATTTTACCTTAAATTTTAATTAAGTAATCGTTTATTTGTAATATTGCTGTTTAATTTCCTCGCAACCGAAGTGAAAAGCGAGTGTATAACTCGTTCATAAAACCCATTTTACCCTCGACTTAAGTATACCTCGCCTGCGACTCGTGTGGAGTGTGGATATACTCGTCTCGGGTAAAATGACGCGTTTTAGTGATCTTCTATTTTTGGGTAAACTTTGAGATAATTTATTTTGTCATGTTAATAAGCAGTGTGTAATTTTTATTGTGATATAGGTGCTAAGGTACATAGCGTTTGCATTATATTTTCTTCAGTCAATTGATAGTTCTGTTAATTTTACGGGACATCGGAAGTGGGTATTGTGTTGATTTCAACTCTAATACCCTTATTTTTTTCCATCCTCTAAGCTAATACCCCTAGCCCTAGCCGTTCTTGTGTAAATGGTAGTATAAATAGAATATCGTTGATTAGAAGGGTATTCTGTCAATAATTACCGCCCGATTAAATTACAACATTCGCTAAAACTGGCTGGACGTCTTCCATCTCAGTTACACAAGGAAAAGAAAGTTATATACAATTATTTTTTTTCATCCTTTACGACAAAATGCTTGTAAAGAGACAAACTTTGCCATGTTGTGTCCCTTATCGCCTGTCACGTTTTTTCAAGGTCAGCATTTCATGTGCTAAACAAAGTTTGACGTTTGGTACGCTTTTGAAAAAGGTTGCGACGAAATTTATAATTATTTTCATATAATAATTCGAAACACAAGAACTACTTTGTGTTTATTGTAGAGCATTGACTTTATTTAGCTATTGCTGCAAAATGGTACGGTGCAGTGTTCTTGGTTGCAAAAGCGATAGTGAGAAGAAAATTACCGGATTGTCCTTTCATTTGTAAGTAGGGGGAAGTTTCAACTATTATGGTTTATAAACGTCCAAATACTTATGATGTTGTTTCAATATAAAATGAATGCTGAATTACCTATACGTGAATTAAGTTTATTTTTACACATGTTAGACTATATAGTTATCTACTTCACATAACCTCAAATCTCAGTGTTGCCGACGTTTGAAAAGAATACGCCAATAAAATAAATAGCAATGAATAGGTTCTTGAATAATTTCGGAGGAATGTTTTTTAACATAAGGCCCGTATAGCGCTACCGGCTCGTATGCTTGAAAAGTTGTTCCACTTTTCACCGGGCGTAATGTTACCATCTTTATAATTATAGTGTAAAATATTGTTTTTATAGTAGGTATTATAATTATTATAGTTTTGTAAAATTTTCAGATTTCCCGAAAATTCAGAATTACGGGAATTATGGATAAAAGCAACTAAAAAAAATAGCTGGGTTCCAAAGAAAACCTCTAAGATATGCAGCCAACACTTTCATAACACTTCTTTTGTGAAAATAGGAAATAAAACATATTTACACCCTGGAACTGTTCCTGTTGAGGTAAGA